AACTGATTATGAACAAATATATTAAAGGGGTATTTTATCTCAATGTTGCAAGAAGAATCATGGGCAATCTCATTTTTGGCAGGAATTAATGAAAGTAAAAATAATTAGGAAACACTAAAAATCTGAGGCGGATTTGCCGTGCTCACCAACTTAATTTGCGGGGAACAAAATTTACCATGAAAAAGTTCAATTTGCCATGGTCAAAAATCTGACGTCAGATTTGTAGTGGAGTCCAAGAATTATGAGCTTCCTAGTAGAGCCAGTGTTGTTTTTGTGGGTGTTGCGACGGTGATTTGGAGCGCAAGCTCCTTGATTCGCAAAAAAAAAAAATGCACTGGAAAATGAGTACAAATGAAATTGCAGCGCTTGTAACGCATCACGTGATGAATGAACCTGCCTGCGGGAGGAGTGCAGAGGCGCGCGACGCAAAAGGCCGGGTCGTACGCGGTCAGGGTGGCCATCCCGCGCCGCTCGCGCCGCAGCACCACGGACCACCCTTCGCCGATGCCGTTCTTCCTGACGATCTCCGGCCAGCCGGCGCCCAGCCAGCACGCCACCTCGCCGTCCGGCCGCGGCCGCATGCACAGCTCCACGCGCCGGGGCTTGCCGAGCAGGTCCACCACGTGCACCTCCTGCACGTCCCCGGCGCCGGCCGCGAGCCGCGCCGCGAACTCCAACGGAACGCACTGCAGTCACAGGAAGAACACACGAAAGCAGCAGAGGGGAGCCGGTCAGGAATTGATTGATGTGACAGAGCGGAGGGGCAATCAATGGCGGTGCGGCGGGGTTTGGCATCAGTCACTAACCAGCTTCTGGAGGCAGCTCGGCGACAGCACCGGCGCGGCGAACTTGTACCGTGGTTGGCGGCGGACGGAGAGCGCCATGCTCTGGCGGTGACGTGCTGACGGTGATATCGCAATGAATGCGCTGCTTGGCTGGTCGCTGCGGTTCAGTTCAGTGCTTGTGCAGACAGTCACGTGGCGTTAGGAAGAGGAGACGGGCGGGTTGGTGCGACGGTTGCCGGTTAGAGTTCCCGAGGAAAGGAAAGGGAACGGTGGGCCACGACAGGCTCTCTTGTTTTTTTTAAACACAATACAGATGCAAGAGATCACAAATACGCACATACACTTGTCCCTATAAACACACACGCACATCCTATAAGAGACTGAACCGGCATACCATCTTAGATTTATGAACTCACGGTAGGCGCCTCGTCGTCGACGGATGCGTCTCCTCCCACAGAAATCGCATCGCGCGAAAATCGTGAAATAAATCCAGAAATAATGCGAGCATCAAGACTTAAATCCTGGTAGGATGAGGATCCACTGTTCCTCTAACCATCCAACCACAGGTTGGTTCGCGACAGGCTCTCTTGTTTCCCTTGTCTCTCCGGTTACTCGAGTAGCGGGTACTAGGGCTGGACGAAGAGCTCATAGCTCACGGGCTTAATAGCGCTCGATAGTTCGGCTCGTTAAGCTCGTGGCTCGCTTTTTAATGAACAGAGTCGATCATTGATTTTAGTTTGTTAATCTTAATGAGCTTAACGAACGAGCTAACGAGTTTCACAAGTAATTCGTTGAGCTCGTTGGTAACAACACAACACACACATTTTCAACTTACATGACAAAGTTTTCATAGCACCTCAGCCCATCTAGTCAATCAAATCTACATAAAAAGCAATGAACTAGTGCATTTTCTTTTGCAGTCACCATCTTACTTCTTAAAACCACATATACACACTCATCATGTAAGTCGTAACACATCAGAATCTATTAACAAGCGCTTGCTAGCGCTCACGAGCTTAACGAGCTTCAAATGAGAGGGTGCTTGATACGTTTTAGTCCCATGACTAAAAGTAGTGGGACTAAAACTTGCTAGCCTCACTCATGCTTGGATACAAATACTAAATAGACTAAAATCGAGTTAATGAGCATTTATTATCCTCCAAACCCTCCAATCCAGAACTCGCATGTGTTAAAGGAGGGGAGTTAAATTATGAGAGAGAGGACTAATCCACATTTTAGTAAATTAGGAGAGAGAGGACTAATCCACATTTTAGTAGGGTTCCCCTGACTAAAAATTTTTAGTCTCAAGACTAGTTCTAACCTCTTTTTAGTCAGGGGTGATTGGAACTTTAGCCTCTAAAAGAGACTAGTTTTAGTCAGACTAAAAATAGTCCCTTGGATCCAAGCATGCCCTGAACCAAGTCGAGCAGGTTTTCTGCTTGTTAATCTTAACGAGTTTATTGAGCCGAGCCTTAACGAGCACGAGTTTAACGAGCCTAGCAGCTCGTTAATCCACCCCTAGCGGGTACCAGTCCATTTTTAGCCATCTCTAAGGCCTCTTTATAATTCAAAAAGGAATCTTTTTTATAGAAATAAATTTTGGAAGCAAAAATGAATTTAAGAAAATTACATGCAAAGTTGATTTGTAAAATAGAAAAGCCCAGGAATAAAATAAATAGTGTGTGCAGGCAATTTGTTGCTCATGTTCAATCAAACAAGGGTTTTTAATTAAAAAATGAAATAAAATCAAACAATGGTTCACCAACATTTGCAGATTTTGATGTTTTGCTGCAAACTCACGGACAACTCTTGGTGCCTACCAAAAATGTTACTCCCTCAGTCCCAAAAAACATGTCGCAGCGCCGTTTTTATAATTTAGCCCTCGTTGTTTTTCCGACAAAACCCGCGGTCCTCTCTTTCCTTCCTCACTCTTCTCCGACGCCGGCCGATTTGGTTGCGCCCGCCCCTGCCCACAGCCTCGCCGCCCGCCCCCGCCCACGGCTCCCCCTCCCACCGCCCCACGCCGCTCCCCCCTCCCCGGCACCCCACGCCTCCGCCTCGTTTCCCTCCCCTCCGCCCGCCGCATTGTTCCCCTCTGCTACCACCCTTCAAGGTTCAATTTTTGGAGACCACTGTCCGCATCTGTCCATCGGCGACCACGAAGCTCGCCCCCTCCATGGACGCAGCACTAGAAAGCATGGGTGCCCCTTCTCCACTCCACGGACGGCTACACGCTCAAGGTGGAGGAGCTCACCGTGTTCAAAAAGGTGGAGGAGCTCACCGTGTTCAAAAAGGTGGAGGAGCTCACCGTCGAACTCGCCGGAGTGGCGCTCGCCGTCAGCCCCGCGCATCCGGGCCCGGCGCCGCCGCCGCCAAAGACCACCTCTTCAAGGTATCAGACGCACCCACCATTCTTGCCATTTCAATTTCAGAGAGACCATATGCAGGGCATCAGATGCATATCTAATTTCGAATTTCTGCTCTATTTGTCAAACCACTTTCAGCTGTGTTTACTTTCAGCTCTGTTTGTCTCTCGCAGGGGTCGCAGGACCACCCGGGCCTGGTCACCATCGCCATGGAGGATATCTTGCAGTTCGCGGCGTCCATTGGTGGTGCAGGACACCCACGTCTTCGATCTGTTGGAGCCCAAGGAGCAGGAGGTCCTGGTGCTGGAGGATGCACATGGCAAGACCAATCTCAAGGGCCTCTCCAAGGTTTACTCTGCTCTAACAAATCAGCCTCTTTTCAAATTACACAGAGGATTGCAGAAAAGTTATGTTTGTTGTGTGTATCACAAATTCAGTTTTAGTTCCAGTGAAGTTTCTTGTCCTTTATGATTATTCTTATCAAAAACAAATTCAACTAGCCAGATTGCAACTAACCAGCCTCTAGAGCATGTAGTTTCCCAATAATCTTATTTGGCATTTCTGTGGATCTGTTAATAAGCAGGCACCGAAATTTTGTAAGTTTAACAATACTGGATGGTAATGTGACTGGTGCCTAGAACCAGATACCTCTAGAGCATGTACTCCTATTTATTCTGATAGGCATTTTGTACTCCAAAGGTGAGGCCATGATCTGTGGTGTCTACTGAAGGCGTTTCAGTCAAAAACTTGCTTAAGCAAGAGCAGATTTACGAGCAAAAAACTCACTCCATATGTCTACTGTCTAGCACTTTGTGCATGAAATCTGTAACTTATTTATTCTCATGAACTTACTAAAATGGTTTTCCAAACAAATTTGCAGTGAAAGCCTTGGTGAGTAAAAGCCTTGGTGAGTAGTGGATCCTGCCAAATCAGAAGGATTTACCAACAAATTTCAGTACCATCACCAATCCATGATGAAATTATAGTTTCACTTCATTGTACATAACCTTTATGAATTTTTGAAATACTCCATGGCAGTATCTAGTAACACTGTCAGTTACTGAATCTATATCTATAGTACTCCATGGCAAAGATTAGTGCATTTCTAAAATGGCAAAGATTATGGCACAAAGATTAGTTACATCACATCAAAATCTCAAATTCTTGCTCAAAATCTCAAATCTAAATTTGACGGAGTATTCGACAGCAGTCTCTGATTGCTGAAAGCATCTGTTGCAGATATTGTTTGGCAGGTGATATTGCTTACTGCAGCTAGAGTAGAAGAAGGAATAGGAGTAGCTGTAAATCAAAAAAAATGTGTGTCCATATTTAGGAGCAGTAACTTTGTTAGGAAGAAAGCTAGCTCTAAACAGAGTTACTCCATTTGATATGTGATATTTTTATCCTAGAGTAGATTGTTAGGAGATGTTGTTTTTATCTCTGAACTTGTATGATATTGTGAACCCCAAAAAGTGCATCATCAGACAGGTGCAAGTTGATGCCCCTCCATTTGTCACATCACAGACTAGACTAGGTGATCATTTTCTTTTTAAATGCTAGGAAAAGGGGAGGTGTTCACCATATTATAGAGAGCAGAAAGATTGATGGCTAGGGAAACCCAAGAAGTAAAAGGAACATCACTGAAAGCAAATAGACCATGCAAATAACCAAAATTAATTCTAGTTAATTCAAATACATCCAAATAATACAAATTAATTTAAATAATCCAAATTAATTCAAATAAATCCAAATAATTCAATTAATCCAAATAACCCAAATTAATTCAAATAATTAAGCCAAATAACCCAGATAATTCCAATAAATTCCAACAAGGAGTTGATATACAAGGATTAGACAAGGCATACACAAGGACATGACATAAGGGCATCTTTGTCCCCTCTTGACACAAGATTACACAAGACATACACAAGGAGCACCTGACTACATGACATAAGGGCCTCTTTGCCCCCTCTTGACTACATTCTTTCTTTGGCCACTTCTTCCCTTCCCTTCCCTTTACTTTTCTTTTTTTTCCCTTCTTTAGACAATTCTTTCCTTTCATTTTCTTTTCCTATTGCAATTTCAATTTCTTCTATAATGGCCCTAGTATCAACAACTACCCGACTGTCGCAATATACACTGATGATTTCCCTGCCAGCATTCTGAATGCGATCCTTGTGCAAGTGGGGCAACTTATATTGATTTCCTCCTTTGTCTTTCATAATTTCAAACATAACTGCTTCTAATGTGATAAAGCTTCTGTGCAACTTGTCGGGATCGTAGTTCTTGAATTCCTCTTCCACACCCTGTACCAGTTCCTGGATGTTTGTAGGTGACCTGCAGTCGGTTAGAGACTGGAGAGAGGTATGGAAGCAGAGGTCCAAACAATTTAACTCAGGGCTATTTGGGGGCTGTTGTAGCAATCGGATGTCAAGATCAGTTTGTTCCACAGCTTCTCGAAAAGCTACATCATTGGGAAGGACATGGGGCTTTGCATTATCCTGTTGGATGAATATTGTTGCTCCCTCGTCATCGTCAGGCCACTTATCCTGAATTGCCGGGATAACCTTATTGATTAGATAATCTCTGCACACAGGCCTAGTTACTTTCACCGATGTCAACACTTTTGTTCCCTTTGTTCTGTTATGACTTGTCCGCTTCGCCTCAGTCTCTTCAACGAATGCCCAAATGCCAATCTTCCCGTCGAATGTTAGCTCCCCATCATTGTTATAT